AAACTTCTGGCAGCGTTCACAGCTCTCCACCTACTTAAAGCCCATCATGGCCTGTGCCTCACTCCATCCCAGCCTGCCTTCGCCATGTCGGTTTAGGATCCAGAGTCCTGCGGGATCTTTCTTCACCAATAGCCCATCGCTCCTGTAGAGGGCGCCCCTGCTCCTCTCTGTCCTTGCTTCCCCAGGGCTCAGCCATCTGAGAAGCTCTGCACATTTGTGGCCTTGACCTTGACCAGGGCTGCCCAGATGCTCGCATGTCCCACCGTCCCCTCTGTGTAGCTTCTCTCAATGCTCCAGGCTTTCCCAGAACCCCGCTTTTCCGCACTGGTACCGTTCTTCCAACCAGGAGGACCCATTTCCGGTGTTTACAGCTTGTGTGTGGCTGTCAATGGCACGGCCCTCTGTAGAAATTGAAATATGGGCCTAAGTCCTTTTCTCTTCCTTTCGTTACTGATTATGGTGTCAGGCCTTGAGCAAATCCTCTGATTATTGCAAAAAGGAGTGAGTTTGGGACGATCCCTGTGCTGTGAGAGTTGCGATTGTGAGCTCCTGTCTGGTTGACCTTCATCTCAGGACTCCTGAGGAACTGGGATTGAGGATTTATTCTACCACAGAGGATGTGAGGAGGGTGATATAGGTTCTCACTAACCAATGAATAGCTTTAAGCCTAGGACTCTTCAGTTTGGAGTTCCTGCATCACACACAGAGTGAATAGGGAGGGCAGGGCAGTCAGATCCTCACTGCTGATCAAGAAATGAGGCCAAGCCCTTCTCCGTGGCAGATGGACTCTGTTTCCTGTCACCCTTGGAAGGCACTGACATTGTGCCTGTGGGGTGGGGTGCTTCACCTACTGATTAGGAAGCAAGAGCTCCTTTTTTTTTTTTTATCCTCTCCCCACAAGACTGTGTGTGTCTGATATCGGCAAATGCCTATAGGAAAGCCCCAGCATGATTCTAAAGCATCATTTCTGCTTTATTTTCCTCTATGGTTTTCGTGCTTGGTTATTTCTCCTACTTCCTTTCATGCTCAAGGATGCCTTTAAGAGGATTGTGGTCTGCTTCTTTCTTTCGGGGTCCCAGGCCGGGATGAGACACGGGGCGTCCAGCGTGCTAGGCAGGCTTCTCTCTGAGCTCCATCTCCAGTCCCGTTGTCTCTCCCTCAGCACAGAAGGGGGCTATGGAACTGCCCCAGTGGCTGCCTGGAGGAAGGCGACTCCCACAGCAGGGTCTCAATACTGCCTTCGACAGCTCCCACTCCGTAGGATGGACCCACCTTCCCAGCCTCAGAAGATGCTGCCTCAAACCACAGAGCGAAACGATGAACGCTCGTGGGCTCTGCTCTGGCGCACCCTGTCTCTCCCGGTCTCTCTACCTGAGGGCTCAGCAGTCTGAGTCTCACCGGCAGGAAAGAAGGAAGACTCCATCTGGAACATCACTTTGTAATCCTCGTCCTCCTCCACACAGCACCTGAAGTGATGGGAATCCGTGCACAAACCGCTGGCTTCCAAAGGGTCGATCATGATGTTTGGCTCCAGAGGCAGTGGGTGAACAGTGACGTCTTTGCTGGCCACACTGTATGTGTTCTTATATCTGAATACGCAGTGGTACGTTCCTGAGTGGAAGGAAGACAAATACGATGGAGAGAACCCGTGCAACCTGGGAAAGGACTCGTCATAGCTTCCCAGACACCAAGAAGAGAATGCCAGATCGATCCCCCGCCCCCGTTCTCCAGCTACCTGACTGACTAAGTGATGACCCCCTATATAATAAGCACTTACATGCACATAAAATTAAGTGGCTGATACCAGGTTGGGGGTGGAACTGAATTCCAAACTGGTCTCCCAATTTCTAATCCAAGGCTCTTCCGGGAACCCAGGGAATGAAAGAGGATTTCGATGCAGAGATGAGGAGGTTTTGAAGAGAGCTGTCAGCCTGAGGAGCACTATGATATTATAAGCCCACTTTTTTGTCTCTAAGTGACATGCTCAAGTGTAAAGGGGAGCGGTACTTGTAATGGCAAGAGCTCAGGCTTTGGTGGCAGAGGCGCCAGTCCAATCCTGGGTCTGGGGCTTCTCCTGCATCTGTAGGATGGAGCAATGGCCTCTTCCCCAAGGCTGTGACACCTGCTGTGAGCAGTCAGCATAAGTGTGTCCAGGGCAGGCCTGGGATGGCACCCTGTCCCACTCAGCGTCCCAAGACCCAGGGTGGCTGTCCACTCACCATTCCACTCCCTGGTCGATGTCTCCACTGTCAGCACCGACTGGGCTCCTTCTGGATGACGCCTTGTGGCGTAGAACCTTTTGTGTATCTTAATTCCAGCAGAAGTGTTCCAGTACACCTCGTCGTAGTTACGCACATTACTGGTGCATGTTATAGAAAAACTTTGTCCCTCAGAAACAGAAATCGGGTCCGGGGTTATTATTAATTCGACTGAAAGGATACAAAGGAGAGAAACAAAATGAAGCTGACAACAAGTCGGCTGTTTGGTCTTTCACGTCACATTGACACGAGCAGAACTCAGGAAAGAGACGGCACGTGGGGCGTGGTAACAGGGCCATGTCAGCGCGGGGTGGGTACCTGGCTGCTCCTGGACTCTCTGGATTGCTAGGCTGCTGCTGGTGGCACTGTGAATTGTACTGCCTTCCGTCGTGTGCCTCAAGAGCTCGTGCACGTCCCCCTTGTGGGTGGAATTATCTCCTGATGGTCAGCAGGGTGAAAGGTGCGCATTAGGGCTGTCGACTTCACCCCAGATCCCCTCCAACCTCCACTGGGTGCCTCTGGGAGGATCAGGCTGGGTTGGTGGAACCATTTCCTGTCTCCTCTTGCAACTTCCTCTCCACCACCCCTCGGTGCATCTCGGCTTCGACATCTCTCCTCTGTAACCCTGGGAGAGCTTTTGCTTTTGTGTCTCTGTGTCCCTGCCCTTGGTTTTAGGTATAGTACAGTGTCATGGCTTAATAAGCCAGTGTGAACCCTGGAACTACATTTGCAATTGGGGAACCATAAAGTTTAGTGCCTGAATCACTATATTTGGACTCTCTTGAGCAAACTGGGACATACAGGCACCTTAACATTAACTCTATGTAATTAAATACTGAAAATTATATATTTATAACTATATTCCCTATTCTGTCTGAAAAGTTCCTCAGATTCATGAGACATTTTCATCCAAAATGTTCATGAGACCATTACAAACATAAAAGCTTATGTGACTGTCCCACTATTTTGGCCACTGGCTGTACTTTGTTTAGACTTTTTAAATCTGTTACACAGTTTAATGGGTTTCATTTGGGCAAATTTGTACTCACACAGAACACTCATTATTTTACTGCCCCCACCCTCCTGGCCCTGCCCTTGCCCCTAGTTCCACATTTTGGGGGTCAGTGTATATAATATAGCTTGTTATCTTTCCCCTTCTCTCCGAGTTTGTCTTTGACCCAGGTGACTTTCAGGAATGTCACCCGTGTCACTGTTGCACAGGACAAGAGCATCATGCGGGGAGTCCACTGTACTGGGTTGCTTTTCCAGTGTAAAATCTTATTTTTGATCATAAGAAAAAAGAAACCATCACATCCTTTAGCAGCTGGGGTTCAAGTATTCAGATCCCGCTGAAAGCCACATGTGTGTGGTATAATGTGGCCCTCACTGCCCATGGAGATCTAGAGACAGCTCCTTAAGGCTTCTCTGTTTCTGAGAAATAGAATGAAAAAGGCTCATGGAAATCCAATCTTCTCCTGTGGCATCTACACTACCAGACCAGGGCTTTTTCCAGCAAAGCATAAACATGCCCTTAAGACACAGAGCAGGTCTGCAGATAGGAGTGGAGTTACAAGGAGCAACCTGGATAAGGATGAGGTTTTCTGAGCTCATCACTGCCCTAGATGAGTGTAGGAGTATTTGGAGCACCTGAGAGCTGTGTAGATCACGTGAATTCAAGGGAATCTGCGACCGTTGTACAACAGCTAAGTCATCATTGCAGAAAATTCAAGTAAGTGTAATGGGTGCTGCTTTCCGCAGTCCTTTCCTTTCTCTAAGTTTGGAAAAGAGGGTTGCTGATGTCTCCAAGTACTTCATCTTTGTTAGTTGGGTGGGAAAACATCTGAGGCTATGTGTGAGAAATGATACTTTTAAGACTGAACTGATACTAACTAGACCGAACTGCACTAAAAAAAGCACTGTTTCAACTTTAAAACAGTAACAAAATATCAAGTTATTAAAGCTTTCTGCAGCATGATTTCTGGGAACTGGTGAAATGGGAGACAGGAAAACAAAGGGAATTGGGTAGTGGGGGGAGTCAGGCTGGACTTGAGGTAAGAAGAGGCCGTGGGAGGAAAGGGGACCTGGGCCTTTCTCTCAGACTTAAAGTAATGGGACAGAAGTGAATCCCGAACTCCTCCCCATGTCCCCTTTCTGCCTTGCAGGAGGATCACTCCATCCGGACCCCAGCCAGGGTTCCTCATCCCTGCCCTTCCTGATTTAAAAGCTCCCTGCTGCATTTAGATGGCAGAGAGGGAACTCTCTTCTGTCTCCCAGGGAAGGCTTGGCTCCAATCTCAGGCCATTCACAGGCAGAGCTAGCTTCACTCGTCCCGGTGGCTCACGAGTGTGGCACCTCCATGGCCAACACTTCGGGGACAGAGCTCTTACCCACAGGGGTGAATGTCACTTCTATGGCCTTGCTGACCCTGGCTCCGTAGCCGCTGAGGAACTCGCACGTGTAGGTGATGGTCTCTGGGCACTGAGTCGTGTTGGCCTGTAGGGTATACCTGCCACAGCCTAAGTCCAGGTCCTGGTCCTCGTGTCCTGCAGGCACAAAAGTGATTCCTTTGCTGTTGGTGCTGACCGATTCTCACCGACGCCAAGTACTTTGGGTGGAAATGGCTATGCTTTCTCAGTCGCCAGCAGTATTGCCCCTCAAAGCTGCTCTTTCCCTCCGTTCCTTGCCATTCCCAGACACCTCACACCTTCTGCACCATCCTGCCTCTTGCCTAGGCCTCTAGGATGTTTCCTTCGTCCTGTCCCTCTACTCTCCGCTCCCACCCTGCCCACTGCCATCCTTTCCTAAGACACGCTTCTAACACTCTTTCAAAACCGAAAGAAAAAGAACAAGCCCTTGATTCACCCCAAAATAAGTCAGCCTTTCCAGCACTGGCTGATCCACAACCTGTGAAATATTTGGATTGACCTATAGCCAGCTTCCCTCCCCAGCTCCCAAATCTCTGCTCCAATCACCCAGTTTCCATCTCCTAGCTGGCAGGTTCAGGCATGCCGACCCCTCTGTGAGGTTGTCTGTGAAAACCCTCTCCCCCAAGCCCCCTGGGATCCCCTGGCACCCTCTACCTGCCTGTGACTTCCATCCCCACCTCACTTCCTCCACTTGGCCCCAGGTGCTCTCGAGCCTTCCTTTCCTAAAATGACCTGTCCCCTGTGCCCAGGCTCTCCTGGCCACTTGCACATTTCTATCCTCTCTTCTTTTCACCGTGCTTCTGCATTCGCCAAATCTCTCATTCTTCACTCCCACTTCTCATCAAATCTTTGAAACCGGCCTTCTTTGGTTGTAATCAGTACATGCACATTTGAAATACAGCATGGTGGTCTTCATTTTGGGCAAGGGATACATGCATAAAACACCTTGATCGTTGTTTTCTTCTACCCCCTTCCTGCCGATCCTTTCCCTGTCTCCAAGTCTCCCTTCTAGCCTCCTATCATTGCTTTTTTAATTTTATTCATGTATTTATACTTCAGGTTTCTCGTATCAGAGAAAACACACTGTATTTAACTTTCCAAGTCTGACTCATCATTGACCTTCTTCAACCTCTACCCAAAGCACACTCCAAGGCCCACGGTGGCCTCCTCATCTCACCTTCACTGCCCCTTCTCGGCGTCCAAGCTCAGACGCTCTTCCCCTCGTCGGGCTGCTTGAGCCCTAGGTCCCTCCTGCTTCCCACGTCCTCCCTCCGGGCCTCCTCCAAGCTCCTTTCCTACTGTTTCCTCCTCAAACACTGGCGTTGCCTGGCATACTGAGCCCCCGACACTGGCCCTCTTCCTCCTGTTTCTCCGCTTCTCCTTAGCAATCTCATCCACAGCCAGTCTATCTGAACAGCGTGACTTCCCACGACTTCGTAAGACAGGTGGGGGGTGAGTGGAAAAACCCAATGGCAGCAATGGGTGATGGACACTGTATAGGAAAAATGATATTTTTAAGACTGACTTGTTACTAAGGATGCTGAATGAGGCATTAAGTAACACGGTTTCAACTTTAAGTATCCAGTTATTAAAGCTTTCTGCAGCATTATTTCTTGGACAAGGTGAAATAGGAGATGAGACGTGCTACTTTTAAGACTGAATTGATACTAACTAGACTGCACTGGGGCATTAAAAAGAAAGTTTCCAAGAGAAATGCCCTTCATGGAAACTTCAGAAACAAAGGTCCAAGTGCTGATCTGATGACTCCGGCACCTCCGACTCAACACGTGCGATGCATTCTCCCCCAGACAAAACCTGCATGTCGTCCTGCGTTTCCTCTCCGTGCCATTGGCAACTTCCCAGATTGGAAACCTTAGAGTCACCTTTCGTGACTTGCGTTTCCTCACATTGTCCTCCCATGCCGTGGTAAGGGATCTGTGTGACTGCACTTCTGAAACGTTTCTGTCTTAGCCCAAGGTCGCTGACCAAACCCCTCTGTCAGTTCTCTGAGCACCGGAAACTATTACGGCTGGACCCCCATCTTCAGTTATCTGCCCTTCAACCTACTGTTTACACCGCCTGAACATCATTTTTCCGAAGTGCAGCTCTGAGTGCCTGTTTTCTCTTTATCTTTAGAGGTACCACTGGGTACGGACTAAAGTAAAATTCTCCTTAGTACAGTGTACGGCACTTACTCGTAGTATGGTTATGACCCGTCTTCTCCTCTCAATCTCACTCTGTATCTTTCTCTCAAAAACTGGGTCCCCTCCTGGACCCTTCAACTCATCTGCGGCGTCCCTCGTCCAGGCCTGGTCACCCCTGCCATGGTCACCTTCTGTCTTCCTCTTGCCAACTTTCACGCATTCGTAACGAGCCAGCTTTTCTACCAGCTAACAGGAAGACAAGGAGCCATGCAAGAGGGGACGCGCACAGAAAGGCACAGAAGCAGTGAGGGTGTACAGTAGGAAGGTTCCACAGGGGCACGCTCAATACCCATACTTGGTTACACAGACGGAAGGGAAGGATGTTTCAGCTGGGAGACAGAGTGATCTCAGATGAGGGGAAGCTTGGTGGGCCTGAAAGACACCTAGGGTTTTAAAGGAAATGAGGGTTTCTGGCGTGTGGTTGAGTGTGCCATGTGTCTACAAACCAGCACTCCTTGTAGAAATTCACACGACACTCAGCTGGGTTGGGGTGGGAGGATGCTATCTTTTAAACTAGAATGACTATGTTCTGGTCTCCTTCACACTTTGGAGCCTGGGGCATTTTGCCACCCAAGAGGGCGTTTAGGGATGGTAAGAGATATATTTTGCTCTCCCATCTCTGGGTGCTAGTGGTGCTGGTGGGCAGAGGCTGGGGTTGCCGGCAAGCACCCTACCATGCACAGGGTAACTCAGAGATGAGAAGGATGGGGCCCTGAACATCATCCATGCCAGGCTAAGATTCCCTCTATTAGACACAATATATGATTTTGCTTGAAGAATGGATTCTGCAGTTAAGTCTGAAAACTACTGTCAGCAAGGTCACTGACCAGCAGCCGTAGGCCCTCAGGGAGTGCATGCAGGCCTAGCAAGCTGGATCCAGTCACCAGAGAGGGGACCAGGCTCCACAGTTACAGCAAGCACACCGAGCTACAGAGCTGAGCCGGTAGGGGCACAGTGTGCCGAGGATGGGCGGTACCAGGCCCTGTGCAGAGGCACTGAGTGGGTCTAATGATTCGTGTCGCACTTCCTGGGGACGGGGTGGCGTCCAAGCACAAACCCGCATCACATGCGTACTCGGCCGGCCCTCGGCTAATGAAGGGTGACCAAGGTAGCCACTGCCCAGGGCTTTCCTTAGGGGCAAGAAAACACAAGGTGCTAAATGTAAACACCGAAAACATAGGGGTGATCCAAATATATGGCGAATGCTTCAATTTTAAAAATTTATTACAGTAAAAGACACATTGCCATGAGTCACTTTTAAAATATTAAAAATAACCAACTCCCCTTCACTCTGAGCACACTTATTTCATTGTTCTTGGCAATGTGTCTTTTACTGAAATATGTTTTTTTTAAAAAATGTAAACATTCACTGTATGTTTTGACCACTCCTTTAATTGAATACATCGAATCTGCCACGATTACTTTTATGATAATAATGCAACCTTTAAGAAGGTTTCCTCAATGTAGTGGGAGATCTTTGCTTCTTACACCTCAGAAATACAAATTCTTAGCTGGGCATGGTGGTGTACAGCTGTAATCCAAGCACTCAGGAGTCTAAGGCAGGAGGATTTTAAAGTTCAAGAACTGTATAGGGAGACCGTCTCAAAAAACAAAACAAAACAAAAACAACAACCAAAAAACCCAGAGAACAAACAAAACAAAACTCAAAAGTAAATCCAGAAAGGCTCCTTTTGCTGATTATTTCCAGTCCTCTCCCATTCCAGAACACCTTGAAAATGAGAAGACACTCACACATGCAGATTCAAATACCTTGGAGAGACACATTGTGCTAGATGTTTCCTCCCTAAAAAACTGGATGCTGAAAATAAAAGTGTGATGCTTGGCTAAAGAGCTGCAGAGAGAGGTTGCCAAGGAGTGGAGGAAGGAGGGCCCTGTGCCAGAGCAGAGGATAAATTCATCAGACAACTGACAGCCAGGTCCCCAGGCAGCGGCCCTGTGGCAGGAAACCCATTGTTCTGTGGTGGACGCAGTCCACCCTGGGCCCTGGGCATTAGGAATGTCAAAGAGGGGTCTCAGCAGGTCTGGAGCACTGTAGCACAGACTTCCTGGTTCCCCTCACTGGGGCCTCTTCCAGGCCTGGAAAGCTTCCCCAGCAGGAACCACAGGAACCGCGCAAGGCCTCTCTGCCATCTGGCAGTGCCTGCAGGACGCCTACACCTCCTTTTCCTTTAAATCAGGGAAGTGACTGAATGTCCCAGGTGTGGTATTTTTGAATGACCATATGCCTTTCCCACTCTTCTCAAGCCTTTAAGGTCAAGCAGACGCTCTGCTCGTGAATCTGCTTTGCAAAATAGATATGCTCAGGAAAATGTGCATGTAAATTGATCGTTTGGTATTTTTAAAGGCTTGTAGTTCAAGAGCAGAGGTTTTGTGAAACAAAGCCTTGCACGTGAGTGAACTGCCCCGGCAAAGCCTCATTTTAGGTTGAATATTTTTTTCTCTTCAAAAATGAGCACATAATAAAACTGTTGTTTCTTGAGAGAAGAGCTGACTGATCCTATGTGGTTTCCAGGTAGAAAACAAACTTCTTCCATCCAAAGTGCCAGGCCAGCCTGCACCAGCAGTGGCTGCCGGATGGGTAATATCTTGTGAGACAAGATCTGTGGTCGAGTCCTAATTATTTTCTTTCTATATCATGGCAACCTTGGGTAAGTCATTTAATCTGGACACCATTTCTTTACTTTCGTTATTGAAAATAAAAGTGCCAGCTTCAAATTTGCGATCAAGTTTAAGGGTAATTAATAGGCGATCACTTGTTTTTAATGGGCTAATCAAACACTGTTACAGAAAACAGTCACAACGGCTGTTCCCCTTACTATCATCATGCATTAGTGTAAACTGGAGGGTGGAAACTTCGGGTCAGATCTCCTCTTAAGGAAAGGAAACATGATTGGAAACGGACATGAAGCAATTGAGAGGGGGGAGGGGGAGGGGGAGAGGGAGGGAGAAGTAAAAATGTGCATAAGAGCAGACACTACAAGGACACAGACATGAGAAAGAAGCTCAAGTCAGAGTCAGTGCAAAGCCTCAGCTCTTGGCTGAGGACAGAGAGGGCAGGAAGGTGGCACACATGCTCTTTGGCAGGTGGAGGCGCCTGGGCCTAAGTTATCAAGCTCCCCTCCTCTGGAGACTTCTACTGCCGGGATCTCGTCTATACCCAGCCTGACTCCTACAAATACACACTTCTGCAACATTGTTCTGCAGTGGCTCATCTGTTCTGCCGCTGACACCACACCCAGTGTTCCTTCGAGGTCTGGAGATCGGAAGGAGGCAGCCGTCCGGACCCCCGCCTCCCCCACACCTCCGTTTTCACTCGGCCCGTGCGCCACAGCTCACGTGGGACACCCGCACCTGGCACGCTCACGTCGCCTTCTTGCCTCCACTCGATGGCGGTCCAGTTCACTTCGTTCTTGCTGCAGCAGTTCAGCGACACGGGGTGGTTGTCACACTTCACGGCCGCTGTTTCGTTTGCCAAGATCTGGATGGGTGTCACTCTGATGTATTTTTCGGTCCCAAATTCAAAGATATCCAGTACCAGTTTGCAAGCGTAGAGTCCTGCGTAGGACACAAGGAACCCTTTATGGTGACCACTGCCTGTGTGCCTTCCCTTGGAGGAGGCCAGCCCCCTCCTGGGACAGGGCCATTCTCCACTGAGCTCCCTGTTTGCAGACCCTGAGACTTCGTCTGCATGCTTGGTGGGGAGCACTCAGGAGGGGCCGGGTCAGCGCTGTTACTCCCGCAGCTCCAGGAGGAGGAGAGAGGCTCCTCTGGCTGCACACGCAGGGATTTTTTTTTTTTCTTGTACTGGGGACAGAACTCAGATCAGTGGAACCACTGAGCTAAATCCCCAGCCCAGAAACTCATATTCTTTCTTTCTTTTTTTTTGTACCAGGGATTTAACTCGGGACCTTGTGCTTGTGAGGCAGGCAGCAGAACCACTGAGCTAAATCCCAGCCCCAGCAGGGATTTTGTTAGTGAGAAACAAGGGTGTGAGCGGATGAGGTAACACTGGAAAAGCCCTGGAGAATAGAAGAGCTCGGACAGTTTGGAGATCCTATTTAGCTCCATGTTAAAATTGGAATCGATCAACACGTGGTGAGACCCAGCGGTCCACAGTCCGTATTTGTAGGTGAAGGAGAAGAGAGGGCCCAGCTGACTCTTGATTTAAAATGGGACGACCATTTCCACCCATGTTTGATTCTCGACCATGTTGGGACCATCGCGCGTCTCTGAATTGAGATCCCGGCTTCTGCAGTTGCTGGGGGCGGGGTTTGAGGACAGGGGCGGGGCAAAGGGAGGCGGAGGCGCTGCCGTGGAGCCAGGGAAGATGGTTTGTGCCCTCGGCTGTGGGACTGGCTTAGGCTTACACCCAGGTCCAAACTCAGGGAACTCTACACTCTAGATACTTGCGGCCCATCGTGTCAGTTCCAACTCATCAAATCTACTCTAAATGTTTTAAACCTAACTGAAAAAATAACGAAATAATACTACGTACAAAATTTGAAAAATAAATGAATCTTAAAAGCGTTTCAAGACAAAGGCCACGGGATGAGTTTTCTGTGGTAAAACTCTGAGCGTTCCAGCCCTTTCTGGACGGCTGGGACACCCCGCGCCCCTACCCCAGGGCCACGCCGGTCCCCCTCACCCTCATCTTCCCTGGTGAAGTTGATGATGGTGAGGCGCGATATGGAAGTCAGCTGCACCGTGGTGTACATGGAGTGTCTGCTGTCGTTGCTGAGCAGGGACAGTTTGGAGAGCCCTTCTCCGTAGAGCCAGGACACGTTGGAGGACAGCACCTCGTTTTCACACTCCAGGGTCACCGTGTCCCCTTCAAAGATGACTGCTGGGGCGACCAATAGCTTGGTTTCATCTGGAAATTCAAAGAAAAGGTGTTAGGACCCTAGAGCAAATAAACACACTGGATGCTGCTCGGTGGGTGCCGCCAAGGCCGATTTGTGGGTCCCCTGGGCACAGTGTCTCTCCACGCAGACGCCCCATGGCTGCCACCAGAGGCGACAGGAGGTGCAGCCTGCCAGCTGCGAGGGACACGGCTCCAGTTCCAGGTCTTTGTAGGATGTGCGTCCTGAGCTAACTTGGGCGATTCCTAATGGACGGAGTGTGGGTCCCACAGTTGTTTTCAATATTTCACTCTGGGGGCAAATTGCCCCTCAGTTTGTGAGGAAGGGACGCTGGCTAGCAAACACAGGGATTCTTAGCTGCTGGCTGGAATAAGGTCTATAGCTTCTTCCCAATAACTCTTAGCCTGGTGCACTCAACGCTCTGACCTAAGCTTTCCATGAGTTAGAAATGGGAAAACAAATTAATTATCTGGAATAATTGAAGCCCGCTGGGGAAGAAAGAATTTTTAAAGACCCCATCTCACGGACCCTTCAGAGCGGCAGCTTTGTAGAGATAGGTGTGGGTTTGCATCCAGATTCTGTCCTATGGGTACCAGTGGACCTCAAGGAGCCGCAGCTCCCCCAGTCTGGACAATGGCACCGCCAGAACGACCTTGAGAGGGGACTTGAGAAACTGTGCTACTCTTATTGCTTGGGCAGTAAAATTCCCCAGAATCCCTGCGTTGAGTCATTTCCCTGATAAAAATAAAACACAAGTTTTTGTATGTGTTTTCTGGGTGTCCTCTGCTTGTGCAATGCATGTTCCCCTACATAGGCTTTGACACAGTGTCCTTCACAGGCCGTGTGTGCCAACGCTCTGTGAGGTCCTGCACAGGGCCGGATGCCTGGCCAGGCCCTGACACCTTGTAAATGCAGCGATAAATCCCATCACACCACTGTAGAGTAGCCTCGTGTTCTAGTCAAAACATCAGTGTTTATAAATACTTAGCACTTTCTCAAGGCCCCTGGCTAAAATAAAGTTTTTTCAAAATCACATTCAACTCTTCGGAAATGGGCCGTCTGCATATTTAAGGTAGTGGCCTGGCTTTGGACTTGGAGAGAGCTGTGTGCCTCCATTTCCTCACCTGCGTGTTGGAGAAAATAGCATCACAGGACGTGTGCAGGTGAGACTCATGTGAACACCCTGGGCCTGCACAGAGAGCACTTTTCAGGTGAGAAGGCTCTGAAAAGCCAAATCTTGGGGCTGTGCTGTGTGAACCCATATTTTAGGCTCTTTATTCCCTTCTCTTTAGTCTCCCGGTTTGTATTTATCTTGCTGCCTTGCATCTGCTGAATGTAGACTTTGCCATCTCCTCTTCTGTTGCAGTGCTTGATGGAGATCCCTGATGTTTCCTGAGCCAGGCTTATACTCCAAACACTTTATGTTAAAAATGGCCAGAGACTCAACAATACCAGCGCGGGCTAGAAACCCCTTTGAGGCAAACTGACTCCCAAGCTGGGGCTCCTACCTCCACCTGTGCCTCTCTGTGTTCCAGAGAGAAACCGCTCTCAGCCAGGCCACAGAGCAGAGCTACCAGGATGGCTGCCAGGGTCCCTGCCGGCCATGTCCCGCCCTCCTGGCTCCGAGTAATCACTCATGGGCACACTGGGACCCACGCTCTACCCCATTTGCAAAATGGGAGAAAGCATTTCAAATGCTGTGTTACGCCAGCTCTAAAACAGTAGCTGGGAACGTCCCTATGCATGGGAGTCATGTAGGGGCCTTGTCCCTTTCAGGCAGGTGCGGGGGGCTAAGACCCTCTGCTCTGTCCCCTGCTCAGTGTCAGTGCTGTGAGCACCTCCAACCCTCAGGGTTAGTTTCATTTCCTTGGATGTTTTTGAGCCCCTTGGCCCTGAATCCCAGGACAGGGAGGGGAGCCAGGTTGTCAGGCACTGGCTGGAGAGGGAGGGATGGCACCCAACCCTCCCACCTTCAACTGCAGCATAGAAGCCACTACCAAGCTGCGTGGAACCTACACAGGGAGAATGCACGTGGTGCCACTCACTGTTCACACCCTGGAAGGAGTTCTCGTCCGCTTTGTAGGTCTGGTTGAGGGTCTGCAGCACCAGCTCGTTGGCCTTCTGGATTCGTCCAGGGGGGAGCATTGTAGTCTTGACCTCATAGCTCACAGACACACTGCCATTGCTGGAGAGAGACCATGCTGATCAGCAAAGCAGTGACTGAGAGTCTATATCCTTGGGGTTTATTTGCTTGGGAAAACAAAACAGCAGCAACTACCCGGGGAATCCTCAGGAATCACTGATGTGGACCTGTCTTCAGACTCAGCGCATGCAGGACTTGCACACACGGGCAGGGAATGGAAATGAAAAATGCTGCCAGGTGGTAATCAGTGGACTGAGTCCCGTGGCCTGATCCCGGGGAAGCAGCCTCAGTCCAGAACCTGCCAACTGCGGACACAGCCTCACAGGCTGACGGTCAGCAGCCAGACTGATGTTAATTGAAGCCAAAACCCCGCTGCTCTTGAACAGACACAGACCCCTGACTTTCAAGATCGGCAGCTAAGTCTGAAATTGAGTCCAGACCCCTCACGGGAGCTTTGCACGTTGCAGCTTGGCACTCCTCCATCCTGACTGTTGGCTATGTCTTCCAGAACAAAGGCATTGTTCCATGGGGCTATTCCATTTTTACATTTCTAAACTCTAGACTACAAACTTGCATGCTTGTTTTCATACTTCTTGCATGCATGAAGTGAACACACCTTTTTCCTCTTTATTACTAAGCAGGTGCATCTATCCATAAGGGGTGAGAGACTCCCTTCAGTACTTCCTTTGACTTTTTTACCCCCTCCATGTTAGTCTTCACCTTGGCCAAACTCTGCCCAGAGTCCCCACATGGCGCCCCCTAGTGGGACTTTTCTCCTTCACTCATACACTGGTGTCTCATCAAATAGAAGTACTGTATAGCATTCTTACGTGAACTCTGTCACAGCCACTGATCTGAATCCTGGTAGAATCCTGTACCCCTCCTGGAACTGGAAAAATGTAAAAAGGCAAGTGAGTGTCACATATGGGAGGCTGGTGAGAGACACACAGATTGAAACCCAGCTGAGAGCACCTGGTCCTCACCACTCTGCTAAGACTTTGTCATATATGTATACTGTGCCTCTGACATCTGAAGACCTGCGAAGCCGCTGTCTCTAACCATCTATGTCCATCTGGGCCGCTGGAGAAGCAGATGCTAGAGGAAGCGTGCATAGGCGTCACCTGGGGAAGCGGCCAGGAAAGGATGGGGACCAGGTACCCAAAGATCGAGGGCAACTTTCTTTTTCCTTAAAGCTACATTTCTTAGTGGTGTGTATGCATGGGTGTTTGTGTGTGTGTGTGTGTGTGTGTGTGTGTGTGTGTGTGTGTGTGTGTGTAGGGTTCCTCCACTGGGCAGAGTGACCACATTGCCAGATATGCAAAGCAGGGGTCCATGAGGTCTCCTGGGGGAGCCAGTGCTCCTTACGCACTCCTGGAAAATGGCCTCTGTGTGGCCCCCTGTGGGTGGCAGAGGTTGCTCTTGGCCAGAAGAGTGAGGGGAAGCACAGTCTCAGCCCACCTGGGCCACTTTGCCCCGCGGCAGCTCTGTCAGAAACGAGTAAAGCAAAAGTTGGGTGTGGTGGCGCATGCCTGTAATCCCAGCACTCCAGAGGCTGAGGCAGGAGATCGCTGTGAGTTTGAGACCAGCCTGGGCTACATAGTGAGTTCTAGGTCAATCTCAACTATATATAGTGAGACCCTGTCTCAAAACACCAAAAAAAAAAAGAAAAAGAAAAAGAAAAAGAAAAAAGAAATGAGTAAAGTGGGATCAGTGCCTGGCAAGCAAGCACAGCGCCCTGTAGAACAGGGTGGCCCAGTATGTGGCTTACACGTGACAGCCGAGAGGGCTCCAGGGCGCGGACCACCCATGCCCGGGGTCAGCCTTGGGTCACTCTGCCTGAAAGCGGTCAGGGTTTTCACTGCCTGAACCCCACCCCCACGGACAGCTCTTCTGGGGCTAAGGTGACCCCACATGGTCCCCTGAGCCTGTTTGATCCAGTGCTTATGAAATCCCCATCCTGGGGAGATGTAAATAACTCCACCTCCACACTCAGATCGGGACTGAGCCAAGCAAACCATCTGCTGTGAATCAAATGGACCCAGTTCAGCCCAGTATCTGTGGGTGAAGAGGCTGCTGGGGCCAAAACCTACCGCCCTTTCCAGGTCAGTCTTGTAAGATCGGTAGAGGGCAGAGGATATGTTCAAGAGGTCTTCTTGAAAACCCACATTCAGTCTGACTTTCATTCTCAAGGTAAGAACTGAAATAACAATCTCGTGTAAGTGATTGAATACAGACAGAACGGAGAAACATGAGCTTGGGCTAAAATTGAGTAGCCAGTCAACGAACATGAAAGAGCAGTTACCTGTCGGGAGCTGACAGAAAGGTCCCTGGGGAGGGAGTCCTTTCAGGCAGCTGCAGGGGTTCCCTGAGGAGACACTGTCATGCTCCTGACAGACAGTATTGTGGAGGCATCTTTCCTGAGGCCACTCATAGCCTGACTCACAGGAGCACCAGAGTTCATTTCTGGTGGGTGTGCAGACTGTCGTCAACCAGGAGGGAGGAGAGAGAAGGCAGTCATCACCTTTGCGTTAGAGACGGGACGGGTCTACAGGGGCAGGGAAATCCTGATGCGTCTCCTCTGCATTGCCCTCTGGGCTGCCAAGTGCTACACCCAGAAGGCGGGTGGCTCTGCTTATCGGATGATTGTTGAGTGACATTGATGGCTGGGGCACCCTTGAGATGGTCAAAAACAGGTGGCCATGGGTGTCTGTGGTGATAGACAGAGTGTGTCCTCGACACTCACACCCTCTTAGTGCCCTGTCATTCTGCGCCAGGGTGGACCCAGACTGGATGGAGCTCTGGAAGTTAGGTTATAAAGGACACCGTGCCCACCCACCCCCGGGGACACTGGCAGCCCCAGCATAAAGGCCTGTCATGGAGAGGCTGGCACAATAGGGAACTCAGGTCTCTGGGCAGCACCTTGTAAGGAGCTGCAGCCTCCTGGACACGCATGGGCTTGGGAGCAGATTTTCCAGCTCCACAGAGTCTTCAACTGACTCCATCACAACCTTGTGAAAGATCCTGACCAGGAGCTTCCTCAGATCCCCGGCCCTCAGGCATTGCCAGGCATATTATGCAGGACCGAGGAAGACTAATTCATGGTCTGAGAAGTTCTTCCTAATGCCTTACTTCTGATCCATTTCCTGGTTCCTGTTTCCCCCTCACCTATGGTGCCACAGAGAAGGGAACTTACTGCCGTTTAGTACCCTGGGCCAGTCCTTGCTGTAATTACGGATGCCCAGAGGGAGGATCCAGTAGTTTGTCATGAAGGACCTGGTCATATCTCAGGGCCGCTTTATGACAACCGTCACGGAAGCCACCAAGCTAACCTCCAATCACCATTCATAAGGAGATCCTGGCTGTAGAGTTCACCACGTGGGCAGTGAAGGCCTCTTGGTCCTTTCCCTGGCCTGCCGGGCCATGTGCTCCCATGAGCAGCCTCCCAGTCACCTTTGTCCTGAGACGCCTTGCCATCTGTCCTACAGCCTCGGGCTATCACTCACCTGTTGTCACCTGTATGCTCAGAATGGAAGTCACTGTGTCAGTGTCGTTTTCTTGAATTGGAAAACTGAGGCTACCCAGCTGAGCTCTGAGAGACTCCAGGAAGGACGCGTTCTGAAAGCTGACCTCGACATCCACAGTGTATTCATCCACCACAGAACTGCTCAGGGCCTCTGAAATGAAAGTACGGAGGCCTTGAGAACCGACGGGGGTCACGGAGAGAGACAGGAGGGATGCTCCAGTGGGTGAAGGAAACGGCAGGTGTGGGTGGAGGCTGGGCACAGTGGCCCATAGGAATTGCTAGTGGACGCCTTGAGAGAAAGGGGAGTTTGTCTGCTCCCTGCCCACCCTGCCCCCAATGCGGTGACCAAGACAAAGGACCACTGTGTGGGACGTGAACTGTTCCAGGATGGAAGTAGGGGACTAACAGGGGCACAGTTCAGGCGCCACAAGCCAGGGTTCTGGTCAGAGGAGCAGGCTGCAGAGTTTCCGGCCCCATTCAGGTGACAGGCACACATTCCATGAGCTAACTGCACAGCTGGAAGACCTCTGGGGAAAGCATTCTATTATCCCCTTTGTTCTTACTCTAGGCACAGAGCGTGTGCTCTTTCTTCCTCCAGGATTTATAACACCACAGGTGGACAACGCAAGTCTGGCAAATTGGAAAGTAAATTAAATGGGCGTTCTAACTCTTTGTCATTTTTCCTGATGGTCTTTAGGCTGCAGACTGCTGGCTCTTTTACAGCTCTGTTCCTCCATGCAGGCCAGCTCCAGGCAGCCCAGATACACCTCCGATATAAATCTTAGAACTGTTCTTTCCTGCTTATTCCATCCTGTCCAGCCGCTGACCATGAGTGTCCCAAGGACAGGGACTGTTCCCTCCCCTTCCCCTGGCCCTGCTCACCCCCTGGCACACAGTGGGTCCATGCCAGTGATTCTGAGTGAACCTGCTAGCCTGAGTCATACCACAGATTCATTTCCTGGTCACCAAGGGGATATCTGACGCTACTGTGGCTGGGATGTACAATCAGAGCAGAGCCCTGGGCTCGGGCAGTAGTTAATTAAGAGATTAAAGGATACAAAATTTCCTCCTAGATGCATTGAGGATATTTTTATATGGGAAAAATATTAAGGGAATGCTTGTAAAACTGTTACTTTAAACTTTAAATCAAACACGAAACTGATTACACAGGTCTTATCATAAAGTTAAAAACTCTATGCCTGCTTTTTAAAAGAAATGAATTTTCTCAAAACATGGTAAGATTTGTTCTGAATATTCCAAGCACCATTGACCGGAAACTCTCAGAGAAATTTATCATGGGAAGTTCGACTTGTTGAGTGTTTATTGCAGAAAGCCAGAGATTTGTTCATTTGTAAGCCATGTTTGTCTTAGGAGGTTGGTTTCACCCACCAACCTGTTGAAAATTATTTTATTTTAATATCCTTCAGCTAGCTGTAATAGACTCAAATGATGAAAACAGTCCGTGCAGATCGTTTAGGAATGCACTGTATGATGTATTTTACAATAAATAAATAAATAAGTGACTTAAAACCTCACACAGAACTGCAGTCTGTCACGATACAATGACATTGCCTCAGACTTCCGTTTCCCTTTTGATTCTAAATGGTTGAGTGCTGGAAGCCCTTTTCCTGGAAGGCCTGCTAGTTTTTGTTTGTGTTTTTCTCACTCTGGACACACCACGTCGCCCACTGGGACAGTTTGAAAGAGGGCGTTGATGATATATTTATGAGGCTGGTCTACAGCACACTTTTCCCTGAAAAGTCAGGTGGCCAGGTCTGTCCCTGCAGGGGGCCCCCAGCTCCAGGTCCCTCTGTAACCAGGCCAGTGAACTCTCCTCTCCAGAGTAGAAACAGGATTTCTGGACAGCGCTACATACGAGACGGGAGAGGTCAGTAACAATCCCATGTCACCCACTTCTTCCCCGCTAGCTGCGGCTCAGGGTGGGAGCCCCGCAGGACACCTGGGGTCTGCCTGGGGTCCCCTCCGTCCCTGAGCCCCTCCCTCTCTGATGTGTCTGCAGGACACACGTGGCAATCCGCACGCCACGAGTCCCTGTGAAACCAGTGCAGATCTTCTGCACAGATTGTCACGGAGCCGGGGCGGAGGCCGAGCCCTGGAGGGAAGGACCTGGACTCCATCAGCTTTTAGCCTAGCTGCCCTGTATAGCTGTTCACTCGGCATTGGCTCTAAGGTCCTCCCTCCCTCAGGCCCTCTCCCATTCTTCTAAGCCTTCCAAGAGAGTTTCAGTCACCTTTAGCCTGGGTGTCTTCTCTCCCTGGAGACAGCGAGGAGGAGCCTCTCATAGCCAAGGAAATGCCTATGAGGAAACCCCTCAAAAACACCACCATAGTTCAATAGGCCTGACTCTTCCCCAGACAAAATGAACTCTAGGGCTCCCCAGAGTTGAGTGGGGATCACACACACACACACACACACACACACACACACACACACACTCACTCACGCACTCACTGTGGAGCCTCATCCCAGGCCAACCAAATGATAATCTTTATGGGGCAGGCCAAGAAATTATTTATATTTTAAAAAGATTCCTACTGGTGACTTTGATAACCAGGCAGGTTCGGGATCTGACATCGGCATCTGTCTGAAAAAAGTCAAGGAAGCAATCGTGGAGAGCCGGTTAGTGCCCAAAGTTGTTTCCTCGTTTGCTTTGGTTATTGTTTTAGTCACATCCCACTGCTGCTCTTGTGGGGAAACCTGCTTCCTGTGTGCCCCTCTGTCCCCAGGTGCATGAAGGTGATGATGATAAAAGTAGTAATAACAGCAGCTACCGTCTGCCATCACACAGGTGGTCCCAGTGTCCGAGGACAGGCGACACCCGTTTTTCAGGTGGCGCAACTGAGGTTCAAAGAGTTGAAACCACACAGTGCAAAGGGCCAGAGGTGGGATTTGAAACCATATTTCTCTGACTCCGAATTCCATTTCCTTTTAACCGGACCCTGCCACAACTCAGATTGAAAAAGATAACAGCTGAATCGTGTCATAAACCCTGAGGTACTATAATAACACAAAGCATTACTGGATATATGTTCACAAGAAATCAAACACTTCTCAAGCAAATTTTAAAAAAAGCAAGCTGAAAAGCAAAATTATTGATAATAAATGGCAGAATCATGAAAACCACTGCTCAATTCTTAGGAAGGACCTTTCTAGGGCAGTCATCTCTGAGCAGAATCCCCAGGAAGTGTGGGAAGCCTGGGAGCCACAGCAGGACAGTGCTCCAAGAAGAGAGACAGGGCATGGGATCCCTGAGCAATGCCCCCATGGCTGTCTGGGGGACACAAGAGAAGCCTCTTGTGCTGGACCTTCCTCTGACTGCAGGACAGCACAGGGACCCAGGGGTGGCAGCTGCACCCAGGAGAGCGCCAGGACATCCAGGGGACAGTGTGACCCGGACCCCATGAGGTGGGCTCGGAAGCTCAGTCCAGGGCTAGGGATTAGAAATGCAAGCCCCAGCATGTCAAGTCCTGAAAAGGGCCATTCCTTGTGCCTAGGTTTGGGGCACTGGGAGGGACGGGGCCAGCTCCCTGCTGCTGAGATGCCTCCATCTGTACCCTCCATCTGGCTCCTGGTATTTTGCCTATTTTCTTTTCTAGGTTGCCTTCTCCCCTGTGCTGTTTGTCTGGCTTTTCCTGGCTCATGATTCCTGGTGTCACTAGTGTCCTCCAGTGAGTGACGTCAAATTGTGACACAGTGTCTGGGTCGTCATCACAGCTATTTGAACAAACAATACCACTTTTGCCTGGCAGGGCTGATGGGGATGGTGGCTTCTAGAACCAGCCTGAGAAGGTACAGAAATTCACCTGCCACCTGCTGAAGACAGAAGCCAGTTGCCCTCACCCAAGAGGAGGGGCCTGGCATGTTCTCCATGGTCTGTATCTCAAGGGACTGGATTCTGTTTCTTCCTCTCGACTGCATAGCAAGTGAGTGGCAAGAGACACCTATCCTGTGCTCATTTCTCGGTATTTTCTAGAAGCAGCAGTTGGGTAGCATCATCTACATGATACCAGCCCTCATTCAGCAGGTACAGCCACAGAACCTGTGCTCCTATAGGGTCCAGGAAGGGCGGTTCACACAGGGGAATCCACAGAATTCCAGCCGTGGCCCACTAGCCAGGCACGGACAGAGAACATGAGTCATGAGATGCTGGATTGTGAAGTCCTGAGCAAATGATCCATCCACCCCGCTAGCCATCAGCCCAAATCGTCAAGGCCACCCCACGCCAAGTCCTTTACCTTGTAGGATGAGACACCACTGCCCGTCCTCCTCTATAAAGTACCCAAGCGATATGCAGAGAGCCACATGTGGGACCCCCCACACACAGGAGAATGGTGAGTGTGGGTTCTGGAGTCCAAGAAAGCAGTGGGGAGGGCACCTCTGATCTGGGTGGCCCATTACTCTCTGTGAGCCACAGCTGTCCACCGTGAATAAGGGTGATGGGCTTACTTCACGACTGCCTGGACCTTGTGTGCAGACCTCTTGTGTTATGGGTCTTATCCGGGTGTCCCCTCAAAGCCTTTTGTGCCCAGAGATAGGGCTTCCACAGGTGATAGCTTCCTGCTATCTGGGGTCCCCCTGAGCTCTACCTGGCCCAGCCTGGGCCTTGCCTTTCTGTGGCCGTTTTCTATCTCAGTGGTCAATCCATCTTCTGCAGGCTATGGACTGATTTGCCAATGCTTCTCAAGTGACTTTAGAGGCCCAGGAGGACCCCGTACACTAAACTGAAAATGTGTTTCCGTGGTGATTTGTCGCCATCAGAGTGGCTTCTAATGAAAGCACGCCTGAAAAATTTTGGAGTGTCGAATCTCAGATGTGGAAGTGGTTTCTTCTTCAAGGCACTGTGGCCTTAGGCAGCAGAGCCAAGAGGTGTAGAAAAGAACCCTCTTATTCCTGTGGGGGCACCAGCTGCTCCCAGGGAAGCTGGCAGCCCAAATCCTGGAGGGACTCATTGGAGACGAGAGTCGAAACTCTCCTGCAAACAGTTTGATTTTCAAAATAATAAATGTCTTCCAGAATACCAAACCATGGGGTTAGGCAGGGAAGGCTACACAAGGACACGAGAGAAGGGCAAGAAGGAGAAGGGACTGGGCGGGAGGGTGGGAAAGCCAGGAGTTCTGTGACTCTCCAGTGAGCACCTCCATCCAGAGCTCCATAAAATGCAGTCCATTTCTCAGCTTGGAGCCCAGAGCCAGGTGGGCCTGGTGGCTGTGCTGGGAAGAGAACCAGCTGATACCTCTGTCCCAACCCCAGGGTAAGCCTGTTCTCTGGGTCCTTTCCCACCACGGGCTTGATGGGCTGGGAGCCTGAACTCTGGGATCACAGTGTTTGAAGAGCTGCCAAGGAGCCAGTGGTTGGGTGTACAAGAGAAACCACCAGGGAGGAATTCACATACCTGCACAGCTGGGGCTCTGCAGCTCCTCACCCTCGAGGTCCACTGCATATAGCACCTGGAAGAACATTTGGGGAGGCGTCAGTTAGAGAAGTCCTCTCCTTGGCTTCCTATCCACGCACCCCTGAGTGTCCCAGACAAGCTCAGGCTGCCAGTTTCAGGGGGCACCGTGGCCCGGGGACACAGGAACCCTGTGGAGTGCCCAGGAAGGATTTTCATAGCCTGCCTCAGCATCCGGAAATGGAGGAGATCCCCACACTACTTGTCAGAGCCCTGTCAGGGAAGGACAACTGTGAGGCTCAAACAGGTGCTTTCTGCCTACCCAGAACCCTGTGTCACCCCAGTGACCTACGGGGCCAGTCTCATGACCTCTGCTCACCAGGCCCACCCGCCTCTCTGCTGTCCTAGGGCCTGGGAGCCAGCACTCAGGCTCAGAAGTTTTTCTTTCCTCCTTGGATCCTCCTGGCACTGTTCTGGTGCTGGTTTCTGTGGGAAGACCAAGGAAATAGCTTTGCCATCCAGCCTGCTGGGCTATGCTGCTCCCCAAGGGGGCAACACCGGGGAACGTACTCATCCCCAGTGGGCCTTGGTTTACTCCTCTGTAAGATGGGAATCAAATAATGCCGGCTTCCTGTGATTGTCACAGGAAGTAGGAGAGCTACAGAGTAGCACATAGCAAGCTCTTAGTATGCTTGACTTACAGAATACAGTGGTTAGAAAAAAAAAAGGCTGCAGGTGTTGAATTCAAATCCCACCTCCACCCTAACATGGCCTCGTGACCTAGGGAAAGTTATTTGATCTCTCTATGCCTCTGTCTGCACCCTCACAGTGGACTCACATGGGAGTCCACTCGGCAGAAGGTTATTAAAGATCAAATGCGTCCTAAGGAAAGCTGCGATGACGCAGTGAGTGCCAGGAACCACTGTTCTAGGAACGAGTCCCATCTGCCCTCTGTGCTGGGTCCCCTCTGTGGAGCCCATCTCCTCTCATCTGTGACTTTCTGGTTGAAGAGAGGATGATGTCCAACGGGGACAAGTAGAATTCCAGGTCTCCCAAGCTGTCCCGGCAGTAAATGCCCTGATTCTGTATACAGAAAGGCTCGAGCGGGAATGATCCCGTAAGGAGAGCCGGGCATGCATCACCCCCACTGGCTTTGCAAAGACAAAGCCACAGGACCACGTGGCAGCAGAGGTCCACTGTGCTGTGTCCGCTGTCACACAGGCACACACAGGCCAAGGTCCTGTGGACTGTGTGCCACCCTGATGCCGAGTTGAAAGCGGTCCTATGCGAGCAACTGATTCTCCAGTCATCCTCTTGCACTGCTATATTGTCACTGCCACTTCCCAGCCCCTCTGGAAGCCACACCGATGTCCCCTTGATGCCCCCACCTCGATCTCGCCACCAGCAGGCCGCAAGCCATGGCCCAGCCCCGCACCATGGCTGTCCATAGTCACCCGTCCGCCTTGCCAGCAACCTTCACACAAAGACCCCTCTGCCCCTGCTTTTTTGAGGAAATATTTTAAAGCCTGCGACATTCCCAGAAAATCAGAGATGCGTCTGAGGATTCACTCACCAAAGGATCAGGTTTGAACTTCATGAACTTCTTGTGTGAGCTCAGCACCCCAGACAAGCACACAATCAGGAGCACCAGGCGCGGGGCAGACCTCCCTGGGGACTGCATTCTTCAAGGCGGAGTTGTTGGCCTGAAATGGGAACCAGGTGACTTAGAGCAATTTATTTATTAAGCAAAGAAAGAAGGAGTGAGACCTATCTCGAACGTCACACCCCACAAGGACCTTTGCATTCAAGAGGGGAAAGGACAAGGAAGGAGCCACTTTGGTCCCTGCTCGGGACACTTGGATCTTGGGGCACAGCAGGCAAAATGGGGTGTGTGGGGTGCTACGCAGAAGCAGAACCAAGGTGGCAGGCAGCAGGGAACACTTCGTACATCCACAGAGAAGGGCGAGAAGAAATGAGAAGGAAAAAGCAAGAGCGGGGGAGCAAGGGAGAGATCGACCGACCGCTCAGGTGGACACACCTGTCTTTTGTGATCCCGTCCCAGAACACACTTCACATGTGTCAGAGGATTCGGGACCAGCTCCGTACCCATATGCAATGCATTGTGAGGTTTTCAGTTCTGCCATGTCCTATCTGACCCTATTTTCCCTTTTCATTCTGGTAGCAACCATTAAATTGACCTTGTGACCCGTATTCATGGACTGTCGGCCATGAATATGAGAACTGGACTGTGTTATAAATCTGTGTAAGTTGTATTTTAAGCATGTAGGTTGCATTTTACAACATTAATCCATGTTGTTGAACCCCACAATGCAGGATACTAGCATTGCATGATAGCCCATCTGATGTAGTAATCTTTAAAACTATCTCTTTATAACGTTGGTGATGAAAAATGGGCTTCTGGGCAGTCGGAGTAATCCTCGTTGGGTTTGAAGAGCAGAGTGTCCCCTGGAGTGAGCCCAGTCTTCTGCACCTGCAACCAGGAAAGCCTGCTTTCTGCAGAGTTGCCTCCCTTCCTGGCTTTCTATGTCCACATGTGCTTGACAGACATCAGTTGATGAGGACACCAGAAATCGAGCTCTCTGAGGACAGAGATGAGCAGTGGGACCAGGCCAGGGTGATACTCAGTCATGGGCTGCCGGGGGCCACCTTTCCTCTTCCCTGTGGGGCCTTGGACAACAGTAGACAAAATTTGCCAGTCTGCAATTGAGCATTTCAAAGTTCTGCCGCTCGGTGGTTGGGGAAAATGCTTTGCAGTGTTGACTCGGGGAATGGGTGTCGAAGACCAAAGGCACCTGCCACAGAGAAGTCATGGCTGTCTCCCTTCCCAGCCAGATGGAAAGGGGAAGGCTTTGGTGGCATGGTGAAAGCTGAGCCCCCCAGGTGACTTCAGTTGTCCCTGGGGTGAATCCAGTGTTTAGGGGCAGCGTAACCAACTCAGTGTGCTGGGCTACTGACTCCACACCGAAGCCATGAACAAGGGTGAGACCTGAGAAAGCAGGAGGCAGTGAGTGTCCTTTAGCGCTGCACCCAGGGAGAGACACGGGTGCCAGAGGGGCCAGGCAGGCTCTGTCTTCCTCTCCTTTCTCCAAGTTGGCAATGAAGCACCCCCACCTTTTCTGGCAGAATTGGCAAGAATTACAGTGTCCCCAAATGGTCATGCCTGCCCCTTCTGTGTTGGCCAATGGCCAGTAATGTCCCATTCCCTCCTTCCCTTTGCCTCTCCTGAGACAGATTTTTTTTTTTTTTTTTTTTTTTTTTTT